GGGTTTGTGCAGCTTGCGGCCTGGTGTTTGTGGCATGCTAGGACATTAGCGCTTTGCAGTGCTCTTGCTTTCTGAACAAAACTGTGATTGAATTAAGCTTGCTGTTTTCACGCAGGCTCATAATTTGATATATGCCTTATTTATATTGGGGAAAACCACACAGAGTTTTCCCATTCAAATTACTGAAAGCACCCATAATATTGTTGTTGTCATTTCCCCACCACCACCACTGCACTGATTGTTAGGTAGCCACTAGTGGAAATCAGGGGCTCCCGTCACACCCAGAGCACTGACTGTTACCCTTCCTGACCTAAACTATGGAAGGTTCATCACAGTGGGACATGTAAACTGTGACATACAGGTAAATAGTCGCAGATGGGGTTACAGAGCCAGAGATGGATGGCATCCCTAGAGGAGGAAGGAAGCTTGTGACGGGGAGGGGAAGGACATAGATATTCTGCAAAGAGAGGGATACCATAGAGGAGGTCAGTGCCGTAGCAACAAAGTTTGGCACCCAGGGCAAAGCCTGCAGAGGCAGCCCACCTTCACCCCATGCACAGATCCAGTGGGCACACGTCCCCCTTTGCTTGCCCAGGAGTGCACGCAGTGGCAGGAGCTGCCCTTCCCCCATCCCTGTGCCCCCCCACCCCCAAACGAGCTGCTTACAGCTCCATCCCACACCCTGCCCCGGCTACGCAACACCTCTTGGCGCTCCTTTGCTTCGGCACCTGGGTCAGTTGCCCTGCTCACCTGCCCACCCACCTTGCCACAGCACTGGAAGAGGTAAATAAGTGGGCATAGAGTTCAGCTTTAGGTAGCATACCCCAGATATATTGCTACAAACCTGGAGCACATCAGGATAGAAACATGCTGAGAGCCACTTCTGCAGGTGAGGGATTCTGTAGGGTCGTATATGAAAGGGGATATAAATGGGGTGACTTTTCAGCTATAAACTTGAAGAAGTTTGCAAGCAATGATAGATGTCAAAGATCACCTTCATCCTTCCTAATCAGTGCAAAGCAATCCCAGTATGGACATGAGATGGACTACACCAGTGTAGGGTGGTAACATGAGTGTGACTGAATATTTATGCTTTACGTTGCAAACAAAATGTTGATAACTATCATTTGAGTTTTCCCATGTCTTTCAGGCTTCACAGCCGGTTGCTTAGTAGCCTAAATTTAGTTGCATGAATAAACTTCAGTGCTAAAAATTGACTCCTTAGCTTATTTTTCTGCATGTTGTAGAGCCTAAGTATCCAGTTTTGATCTGTCTTGAAAGAGATCATCTTGATTTTACATATGTTAACAGTTTGTATGGCAAGTGATAAGAGAGTAAGGAGACACAGAAAGAGAGCACAAGAGAAGAAGATAGGGAGAGTGCTAGGGAGATAGAAATAATTAAAATGTCTCATTACAGAGATGAGGTCCAGTGTGAATATACTTGAAGCTAGCTAAAAAGATAGGTATGCAGTCAAAGTTCATGCTGTTTGCTGCCTTACTTATATGGTAGGTAAAAATGAAATGTATACCCATCTTAATGCAGGCAAACAACTGTTCTTAAGTCACTGCGCTCTTTATTTTTTGTATTAGAAGAAGATGCATATTTCTATGGCTCTGAATAGTCTCAGTTAACCTGCCCAACTTTAGCAGAAAACTCAACCCTTAATTCTGCCTTACCACATAAATGGGCATCAGACTGGGAAAAAAAACCAAAGAAAAAGGACAAAAAATGAGTAAACATGTCCTCTCAGCTTCTGTTCTAGCAGCTAGACTATTTAAAATAGAATGCGTTTAAAAACACTGTGTATAAGATTAATGTCTAACAATGCTGAAGAAAAAATGGTCTCGTTTATAGATGTGTTGATCTATGGTAATCAGGTGCTGGCACTCAGCTGAAGAGATTTTGAGCATATGATAAATTCTTGGCAGTGGTTTCCAGTGCTAAGGAAACTCAACTCAAGCAGCAGCTTTGATGCTTAGGCCAACTAGTTAAGCGCTATTGACTAGAACAAACACTAAAGAAAAGCAATTGCCCCAGTAGCTTTGCTACAGCATGCACTAGGTTTAAGGCATGCCTGTTGATTCTCCCACCTTCTGCCATTGGGACAAGAAGTGTCACAGCGAGGAAATTATAGACTAGGTAATTCTTTAACAATTCCCCTCTGAATGGCTTTCAAAATTACAGCGTTGGAGAACAACGCACACTGTTTGCATTACAACTGCTAGAGTGAATAGGGGAGTGGGAGGGTGAGATTTTAAAAGGATGCCATGGCAAAATATATAAATGGATAAATGAAAGCTCTCCAAACTTACAGAACCTGGACCAATCTGCCTTCTTTTAATCAAATATACAGCATAGTCTCTTAAGGCTATAGAAGTTAGACCAAAAAAAAAAAAAGAATTTTAGCTTGCAGTCCTCCAAAATAGAACATGGGTAAGGGTTGATTTTGTTGATTTTTTTTTTTTTTTAAAGGGACCCCCACCTGTACACATATATGGCAGTCACAGTTAAAATTCGGTCTAGATCTTTATATAAATCTTCATTCAAGCAACTAAGTCTCAGATCCTGCAAGCCCTTTTATGCATGCTTAAATTTATACTTGTTTCACATCAGTGTAATTATTAAGGATGCTGAGCACTTCAATACATGCAGGCTGTTCTAGATACCTACCTTTAAACATCTGCTTTAAGACTGGCCACACCATGATGCTATGTTCAGAGGAGATAACCATAGGCTGAATGTAACACCAGTTGCAGCAACCTAAACTGAGTGTAATATTTTAAAATCATGTTCTTTCTGAGGTTTTAAAAGTTAAACAGGCTCAGCTGAATTCTGCAACAATCCGATAAATAAAGGTCACCCCCAAGGCCCCATCCCCAAAGTGGTGAGTTTGGGCAATACTTTTTTTCTGACTTCCAATTATTGCTGAACAGACACCAAGAGAGACAAGGACAAAGCCAGAAAGAATTTAAAACATCTGGTTTGTCTAATAAGTAGTGTTGCCTGTTTCTGAGGCATTTCTTTTGCTAAACTTCCCTGGATGTTTCTTTGATTACATTCATAAATTCTTCAGAGCCTAATCTAAAGCCTAATGAACTCCCCTCAACTCTAACTGGCTTTTGTTCAATCCCTTAATATTCAAACCGAATGAGCATCAGCCAGATTTGCCAAATAAGCTAACAAAGAGATGGATCTTATTTTATAAGTATATTCTTAAAGCAAGGTATTACTCTGAGTGAGGTAGGCTAGTTTAGAAGGAGGGGTTAAAAAAAAGAGAATTTCTGTATGGTGGAAGTGAGAGCATTAAAAGAAACAAAGAGCATTATTTTTTTAGAAATAAATGATTGAGAGAAGCTCAGGAGGGTGCATTCATGCTTTCTGGAAATGGCAGCAAAACTAGGATGGGTGCCTAGATCATATCTAAAAGGAAGATGGCATCTCAGGAAATGAAAGTCAAAGATATAGCACAGACAAGGACAGTTTTCAAGGTTGATACAGCAATAATACACACACACACACGTGCTTAGGAAAAGAAAAGTTTTCAAACTGCACAGAATCAGGCTTTCATTTTTAGAAACATAGTGAATATCAAAGAATAAAAGAAAAGGGGGGAGGACAGTTCAAAAATTATTTCTATTCTCTCTTTTCCTAGCTGTTAATTTCTATCACAGACCTGCTTTGATCTGAGCTGAATGTTACTATTTTCTCCTCCTGCTTACTAGCCTGCTTTGGTTGTGAGGGAAGAAAAATCTTTTTAAATCTGATAAACCACTTCTTCACCCAACCAAAAGACGGAATCAGAAAAAAAAACCTTTCAAAGGATATAATTTGCACAAGAACTGAGGAAGCCAGTAGAGAGTAAGAGAGGGGAAGGGAAAGCCATCTCATATATATTGAGTTGAACTGATGCCAAATAGACTCCCTTAGTTAACTGTTTCTCAGCAGTTTTCCCTAGGTATAATAATTAATGTGCAGATGCATTGCTGTTACCCAGGCATCCTTCATTCTAATTCTTTACTCTGCATTGTTTATGGTATTGCTTAAAAAGCAATCCTATAATAACCCTAGCAAATTGATCTCTCTCTCCTGATTTATATCCCTTGTTAGTAGGTCTATTTCCTTCTTTGCAAATTGTAGTAATGCTGCTTAAGAATGAGTAACTGATGTCTGGGATCATGTAAAGACCAGCGATACACAGGCTAAGGGTGTCCTGAGAAAGAAAAAGGGAGTGAAAATTGGAATGAAAAGCAAACAATAATGTTTACATATCTGTAACATATAGAGCCAACTACTCCCCTCCCTGTATACAACAAGGAGTGAAATGGGGGACTACATTTGTCAGATTATGACATCATTCTCTTCCAAGGAGAGCAACCTTAAACTCCAAAGAACTATGGGAGTTTTCCTGGTAAATGGCCAACTCCAGACTACCAACCCTTTATACTGTTGCGTTTCAATCAGATTTTCAGAAGAAATCCCCAGCCTCCTTTGGCAGAGGGCAGGGAGAGAATCTGCCTCTAGACTCTTATTCACTCTTCCACTTTTCTACAGTGACACCTATGCTGGGGCACCCATTTCAGCTGTTCACTTGTTTACATTATTAAAACATAGTCTCTCATATAATATAGAAGAGACCTAACCATTTTGCTCATATCTCTCTCCAAAATAAGACTTGGACTAAGCAGAGGTGTAGCCAGGTACTCAAAGACAGTGGCAGTCCTATATTAATTATATCAGGAAGAAAGGTTATTGTAAATGGGTTCTCCAACAGGGCTGTTTGTTTTAGCAGAGAGAAACCTCTGTTGCTAGCGTGTAACAATCCCAGTTAGAGATCAGCTGATTTTCTGACAGTGGTACCTGCCAAAATTTCTTCTGTAACTAGTTTGATAATTGCTTTTATTTTTTTGTACCAAGGGGTACCTAATTATGACATGTGCTAGAACATGGTAGGGGGGAAAAACAAAATGAAACAATAATACTCTTATTTTCATCCACAGGTAATGCAGGTGGTGAAGGAACAAATAATGAGAGCACTCACTACCAAGCCTAGCTCTCTGGACCAATTCAAAAGTAAACTTCAGAATCTAAGTTACACAGAAATTTTGAAAATCCGTCAGTCTGAGAGAATGAACCAGGAAGATTTCCAGTCTCGTCCAATTCTGTAAGTGCTTTCTTCTCCCCTAGTCACTTCTTGCATGGAAGGACTAACAAATGTGAATGACATTTGTGAGATCTTCAGGGAGAACTGGGGGAAAAAAACTGTCGAGGGAACAGGGCTCAAAAAACATTGGCATAGCATCTGCTTGAAGTCATGCACTGTCTTCTGCAGGGAACCACTACTGTTTCTTTTGAGTTCAGTTAAAACAGATTCAGTGAATCCCTATGGGGCCCAGCATGACTTGTTTGTAGCAAACAATGCTTTGACATTTTGAAGCTTTGTGTGGCTGTGTGCACACATTTTTTTGGGTTAAATTTTGTCTTCTGTCCAATGCCCCTTTAAGATTCAAAATGTCACTACTCTGAGCCAGGCAAAGTAAAGCCCAGAGCCATAGCACCAATACAAATTGGATCCATAAAATGTACGTGTTTGTGACTTGAGGATGGCGCTCTTTTTCTTTTGTGTTAACAAGGCAAAGTTCTTTATATCTAGGTGATTTCATATCAAATTCAGAAGATACTTGGTGTGCCACTCTTTTCCTCTGGTCTATCTCTGTTATAGCTTCAGTTGATTTCGAAAAATGCCCTAGACTCCATTATATGTGAAAATATTAGAGGTGAGCCATGGAAGTAGTGGTTGGCTCTCAGTTGAGGTTGGGCTTGAGGACACATCAGTGACATAAGGCAGGTTCAGATTCAGTGGTGCACTCATATCATGCTTTTTTGTCTAAAACTAGAAGCCTTTTTGGGAAAATTGTGAGAGATCCAGCAACTGCAGCTCAAGTGTCATGTTATGCTTGGCTCATTTGGAACTGAACAGGACACTAGAACACTTCCAGCCCTGACCTTGAACCTTTGGGGATGAACTTGGATCTGAGTGTTTCAGTTCTATCTCTCTGAAATTCAAAGGCATTAGGATTCAAGAACGGTTTAGTTTCTCCCTCTAAAAGAGGAATGAATGCCTACTCCAGGGACACTTTTCTCAGGGGGCAATGGTGAAAGCATAAGTCAAACAGACTCACAAATTTAAATTAATAATGCTACTCAGGATCAAAGGGAGAATGTTTCTTTTATGTTTGCAGTATAATAGAGTGATAGGATGTAAAACTCAGTTGGAACTGATGTCATGCATAATAATGCATTAATGAAGAGCTCACCTCTAAATGGCTACTCTCAATTTTGTGTCTCTACTTCATAGCAATTATTTACCACTCTCTGCTAGTACTGAGTGGTTCAAAGCAGCACGGTAGTACTAAGCCCGTCACCAAAGCTTCTTGCTTTTTCTTGCTTTCCTCATTTCCCATGTGAGTCAAGTATCTAGCAGTGATACCAACTATTTATATTCACTTTGAGCCCTTAGTAGGGGAGTGAAACTTGTCATTGCCTGCATGGTATCCCATTCCAAATATCAATATAAATAACTGTTGTCACAGCAAAAAAACCACCCTTCCACAAAATGTGATGAGTTCATGTCTTAACACAAGCAATTAAAAGCTGTGGAAATATGAGAGACTCATCTCAGATCCAGGGCAAAGGCTAAAAGTGTTTAAACAATCACAGATGCATTCATGACAACTTAATTTTTTGCCTACATTCCTGATCACTTTACTCTTAATAGTGAATAAAAATAGTTCTTTCAGTTTCAACTCAGTGTCATGTAGTGAGCTCTCGAAGATTATTTAGATGCCACAAAGGATGCAAGTAACAGAATCATGAATCCATTGTATACAAAAGAGAGTGAGACTATACAAAAGGAAACTTTGCTTCATCACAGAGATCTAGAAGACTTACAGATATGCTGAAAGAAATTGTACACGACAATTTAAAACTCTTGGGTACTTTTACACATGCTCCAGGGTGGGGGGAGCAAAGGGGTGCTTTAATTAGAGTGGGTCCAAGGTGCCGCACCGTCTTGTGTATTAGCATCCCTGCACTTCAGAATAATGGCGGAGGCACTTGAACTAAAGCTTGTTCAACAAGTTTTAGTTCACGCTCCCCCGCCACCATTTTGAAGTGTGGGGACACTGATTTGCAAGATGCAGAGATCTGGCTGGACAGCAGTAATTACCACACTCCAGCAGACTCGATTAGACTCGATTAATCGAGTCTAATTAACATGCTGGAGCATGTTAATTACCAATTAATTAATTACAGCCCATTGTAGCAGCCTCGCAGCACATTGACAGGCACCCCTTGAGCCTTGTTGAATGCTGCATTAGAATGTAGCTAATAGATGGGAGCAATGCATTACCTGAGCCCTTCTTGCTGGTCTTGTCCATATGGCATACAGAAGTTAAAGTTCTTCAAAATTTTGAACAAAAGAACTCTCCGTTGGTCTGAGTTTTGGTTTGGAATGGCCACATTATTTATTTATTTATTAGATTTCTATACCTCCCTTCCCAACAAAGGCTCAGAGTAGTTTACAGTAAGTAAGTGAACATAATACTTCTATATTTTTTTTAAAAAGAAGACTAAAATAAAATATAAAACTAAACCCCCTTGAACTCCCCCAAGCTTAGCCTGGCTTGGTAAACACCTGCCCAAACAGAAAGGTTTTACATCTGGAAGGTATCCTGGCTTGGGCATTAGTAGGCCTCAAGGGGGAGGAAGTTCCAGAACTGAGGAGTAGCTGCCAGGAACAACGTGCCATGGATGATGAGGATTTTTCATTTGGGCTCATGTGATTTATAATAACCCAGCATCAAGTAACTGCTTTGCCAAAGATCACAGTCTTTTTGCAACATTTGAGCTGAAGGCTTATCTATTTCCATTTTTGGGCCAAACAAATTCAGGACCCAATTTGTTTGAGTGTGATTGGTTTTGAATGCCACAGCCTCCAAGCTACACAGAGAAAATTACCAACCCATTTTGAATGTCTGTGAAAGGCAGTATCCAGTTCCACTGGGAATTGTCCTAGCCTGCAAAGAACCAGGTCATTTCTTTGATACATTAAATAAAAATAGAGTTGGACAAATAATGGGTAAGATGATGATGTTTAAGAGAAAGCTTGAGTGGTGCAGAGAGAGTTTGTCTCTTCAGGAGAGTTGTATGTGAAGCAGCAGAATAGGGGGAACAGTTGGAGGGATTTGGCTTTGTGAAATTCTTTTATTTTTAAGCATTTTCAACAAGGTTAAAAAGTATCAATAGTTTCAGGAGGCATTAGTGGATAGGATAGGATACAGCTGTGAGCCAGGAACATGAAGGAGAAAAACAGATCAAAGTGGCTTTGGGATTATTTTCCAATTGCATTATAACAATTTACATTAAATATAAAATGTCTCACTCCAGAAAGCATGAATGTATTTGAACTATGAATTGGAAGGGTGCAGGCCCAGAGACAAATGAAAATGGAAAAAAAACCTCCATTATTTCAGTCATTTTAAAAATAATTTTATAAAGATTATCCTCAAAATTCTGAGGAGTTAAGGTAGATTTCTCAAAATCAAGTAGCTGATCCCACAGTTGTCCCTTAAGCGCTGAGGCCAATGAGAAGAAAGAGAAAAGTTAGTAATAACATATGACTTGGTTCCATCAAGTGTGCAAGTCTTTTTGATCCATTAACTCCTGCAATTATTAAATCACTGAAATGCAATAGAAACCAAGAACAAAAAAAATTTTAAAACCTGTTCTGTCTCTTATGCCTCTTTATGCCAATGTCTGTCTCTCCCACCTTTACAGGAATAATAGTGAATAGCAGTTTCAGAAAAGCATTGTGTAAATTATTGTGCCCTGTTTGCTTGTCATTTTCCAAATGTGTTTTGTAAATAAGGCATCATGAGTTTTACCTGTCAGTGCTTGTGCTAACTCCTTTGGTTTTTGATCCAACCCTACAAGGTATAGATAGAACTCCATCATCTGCCAGTGCCTTTGGTAGGACTTGAAAAAAATCTAATGCTTCAAAGGCCCCAGCCAATTTTATGCCATTTAATAGAATTAAACATTCCTGATGGTGAGATGGATGTCTTTGACTTATGGAAAAGTGTTGTATAAGAAGACTCAGAGCCTGATTCTTTGAGACCCAATAGCATGACAATGGGTGGGTGCCTAAGAGGGGAAGAGTGGGCACTAGAATAGAGCTAGGGAAGCACCTCACCTTCCTGTCTGCCTTCAAGTTAGGCAAACGCTTAACTGGGATGATGTAGACAAGAATGTTCCTTCCTTGAGCTGCCAGTTAGATTAGATAACTTCGTGAGATTGCTTCCAACTCTATTTTTCTTTGATTCTGTGGTCTTTTTTCTGCTCAGTGGGTGTGTCTACATGAGATGCCAACTGCGCAGTTGTTACTGCACAGTCATTTAGTTCTTGCATAACCAAGTACTAAATGACTGTGCAGTAACTGGCGTTACCATGTAGTAGCATCCTGGCACAATTGCCTAGTGACACTTACTGTGCAGTAGTTCATTACTACAGTAGCATCGCATCTTGGTTCATACCCAGCAATGCTAATGTGCAGTAGTAACGAGCTCAGTAAGTGTCTCATGTAGATGCAGCCACTGTATATTTTAAGCTATAAGTTATTAAAAGCAAGGACTGTGTTCCATGAAGCAACTTGCAAAAATGTTTTTGGCATTGACTAAGTAAGAGTTGCTGCTATTATAATACATGTACCATGTCAGGAGTGTGATTGTGTGGATCGTGCATTAGATCCCACCGTGCCTTTACCTGTACATGTAGAGTTGCCCTCCATGAAAAATCTATGGTATTTGAAAATAAGCATAATTCTTGTAATACATTTTCTAAAGGTATTGTGTTTTTATAGCTATAATAGTTGCTTGATATTTGACTGATACACAGAAGTGAATTAGGTATCAAGAACTGCAGTCCTTGAGCATTTTAATGCATGAACATTTTACTGCTATGTGAGAGTGTTATGTCTAGGGACGTACTGAAATTGCGATTTTCACAGATACCATGATTTCAGGCAGACTTTGTGAATGCAGGCTCCACACTTTTCAGGCTCTGTGGGGAAAAAAACACAAACTCAACTTATCGAAAATAAAAAGCTGGCTCCCTCTGGAGATGGCTGCCACCCCTCACCCCATGCCGCTGATTGGCTGCAAGGTCTGTCTGTCATATGGCCCTGCCCCTCTCCGCCAATTATCAGTGAGGGGTGGAGCTGTATGACAGACAGCCTTGCAGCCAATCAGTGGCAAGGGGCAGGACCACTGGGGCCCCTCTACCAATCAGAGGTGTAGGGGGACCCCACTGTGCTTGGCCTGTGAAAATGGCTGCTGGCCCTGTGATCTGCATGGAAAATCGGCTGGCAGCCACTACAGCCCTTAGTTACGATGGGCATTTAAACACATACCTTTGTCTGCTCCGACATGCCAGAAGTTGAATCTGCAGATTAACTGAGTCTGTGAACCATGCAAGCTGATGCGCTTGGCACTGCATTGCATGCATTTGTATAAACAGCGAAATGCACATCAGCGTGCAGAAAATGGTGGCAGTGCACTTTTGAATTAAAACACCTTTGATGTGTTTTAGTTCAAAAGTGTGCCACCACCACTTTCTCAGCACTAGTGTGTATTTCGCCATTTATACAAATGCGCATGCTGCAGTACCAGGTGCTTTTAATAGTGTCCAGCGCTGCAGGGCATGCATATGTCCAAATGCCCTTGACATGTCTAATTAAGGCTACAATCTTTATTCAAAAACCTTGCAAATATTTCCATGTAGGTTTTTATAAATGAAGAATGTGGCGGTTGAGCCACTAAATGAACATCCAGTGTTTTCCAATGGAATTTTGCTTTACCTCGGAAATAGCACTGCTTCTATGTCTATGAGTGTTGATCACTAGGAAATACTTCCAGGCAGAATGATTTTGGTATTACGTATTGACACAGCAATCTAAAATTATGGGCCTGACACGCTTCATATTTTATAGACCCTCTACACTTTCAGTTGCATGTTAATCTTACTAGATTTGCTGCCACGTTGATGTTTAAACCTGTCCTTTACATATTCTTACTGAATCTAAGTGAGGGTATAACTGATGAATTCAGACACCTGTGAATCCTCATGGTAGCATATAAAACCAACTTTCAATGCTAGATGCATGTATTTTCTGCCTGGTGCTTGAAACATTGAGCCCATTTGTCAAGACCAGGATGAAGGAAATGCATTAATTTGATAGTGTATACAGCAATATAATTTCTTAATATACTATGGGTTTGTGTGTCCCTGTGCACTAGACAGTTTGGATGCCTGGCAAGTTTCAAAGCTTTAGGAATTTTCCCACAAAAACCATGCAGTAGTAAATTGTAGAGTGATACAGAAATAAAAGTAATCAAATGACATCAGCTGTTACTTCATCCGAGCTAACATTAGAAATGCTGGTTCTGAGTATGTTTGGCACTATCTGTTTTCACTTCTACTAACTAATGATGATATGGTGCATCTGCAGAGAACATTGCATCCCAAGATATCAATCAACCAACTAGGCTTCATAATACTCTTTTTAAGAAGTAGCTCTTATTTGCCTCACGGTGCCTTTTGCAGGTACAGTAATAAGTGGTATTTCATGGATGAACTAAGACACAAATAGGTTACCTTAAGCCATTTACCAACTTAGTAGCAAAAGGGGACAGAACATAGGAATCCTGACTACCATTCGGTGCTCTATTTGTGAGTCAGATTTCGCTCCCTAAAATGGCTCATTTCTAGAGCAAGACTGCATGACTCCTCCTCTCTTTGGACCTTCCCAGAAATGAGATGGCTGGAAATGAAATGTCTCAGGAATATCTCTGAGTGAAAAGAAAGTGGTACATAAATAAATCTAATAAGTGTGTGGTTTTTCTTCCCCTTCCCTTCCCCTGCTTCCCAGGGAGCTAAAAGAGAAGATTCAGCCTGAAATCTTGGAGCTGATCAAGCAGCAACGTCTTAATCGACTTGTTGAGGGCACCTGCTTTAGGAAACTAAATAGTCGACGGCGACAAGGTAAAGCTCAAGGCTGAAGAGTCTGGCATTTTTTTGTTTCTTACTTCACCTTTAGCTAAGGAGCTCTTCTGCTGTTGTCAGGTTGACGTTTCTCCACATATAAAGTGAACGATGAAGAGCTTTATTTGAGGGGGCTTTTAAAAAATTTCTAATAATTAAATTCTTCCTTGGGTACTGTTTATGTCAGTGGGTTTTTTGGAATATTCCTCCCGAGCACCTTGTGGAATAAGTCTAATCAAATTAGGTCTTTTGTTTAAAGAAGATCTCAAATAGCTGCTTTCCATCAAGAACTAAATACCTTGATTGCTTCCTTGGTCTTCAAGCTTCTTGCTGATGACAGGGTCAAAATCTCTGGTCACTGAAATTGCCTATGGATAGCATGCGACTCTCATGATATTCAGAACCTTAATGCCACAGACATTTGGGCACATTTTAAAAAGAATTGCTTTTAAATTATGCTACTAATTATTTATATACCTCATCACAGACTCATCACTTCTTAATTGTGGTGAGCGCAACTCACCACATCTATCCAGTCACTACACATCCTTAATCTTCTTCTTTTATTATCATTCATATTATCAAGTTTAAATATTTCATAAGCTAGCAGATTTTAAAAAGTCCTTAAATCCATAACTTGTGTGCCTGGGGGTGAATACTAAATGGACATAGGAGAACTTTCTTCACAATTATGTGGATCATTGCTCATTTTTGGATTGTACAGCTTACTTCACCAAACCATTTTCTTTCTAATCCTTTTCCTCCTAAGAGTAGAATCTTTCCAATCCAGGAACAAAATGCAGCAAACCTGGATCTAAAATGTATCCTCACAGTCCCTGTTTTGATGAGATTCTAATGTCTATCCTTTTATTTTTTCTGTAACTGCAATATAAATTACAATTAGGGTAAGGACTCAGAGATAAATATTTGAGAATTAGGTATTGATGAGAAAAGCAGATTTCTCTGCATGAGAATGATCCCTACAATGCTCTCTGCCTAGCTGATATACAATGCACTTTTCTTAACTACAATTTGAAGATATTTTTGATAATTCCAGGTTTTTAAATTGTTCTGTTATAGTGGAAGGCAACCTTTTTGCCAGACCTGCCACAAATTAGCCCTGTAACCTCCCTGTGTGCCCCTCCGATCCCCTTCCCTTACCCAATCTGCTACTCTGCTTCCTGTTTTATCTGCAGATGTGTCCTGCCTTATCTCTCCCTGATCTGAATGTCACACACAGAGACTGCCCATGCCACTTGTGGCACATGTGCTTTAGGTTGACCACCCCTGTTCTGTAATAAAGCTGGCCACTGCAGTTTACCAAAATGGCATTGCAGTCCAGTATGATTTTTTGTAGAGATGTCACAGAGGTCATAGAAATCATAGAAATTAAGGGCTGGAAGGTTCCTTGAAAGATCGTAGAGTCCAACCTCTCCTGCTCTGGGCAGGAATGCTGCTGAGATCAAACGATCTCAACGAAGTGTCTGTCCAGTCTCCTTTTGTGCACTTCCAAGGTTGGTGACTGCACCACCTGCTTGGGAAGTCTATTCCAGATTCTGGTCACCCTTAGATGTCTAGCCACCAGTATCTGGGGGAACGTTTTTCACCAGAGCGCCCCAAGAGATGACAAGGTCAAATGATTATAAACTCCTGCAAGACCATTTCAGGCTGGACATAAGGAAGAATTTCTTTACTGCCCGAGCCCCCAAGGTCTGGAATAGCCTGCCATCGGAGGTGGTTCAAGCACCTACATTGAACACCTTCAAGAGCAAATTGGATGCTTATCTTGCTGGGATCCTATGACTCCAGCTGACCTCCTGCCCTTCAGGCAGGGGGCTGAACTCGATGATCTTCCAAGGTCCCTTCCAGCCCTAATGTCTGTGACATCTGTGACATATGTTCTCTGCAGCAGTATGTTCTGCACAGTAGGAGAGTAGCTAAAAGGATTGCCAAACCAAAGCAAAACCTATAATCAGGGCTCAGTTTTACTAAGTCAAACTTAATTCCTACAGTAGTGTAAATCTGGACTTCATTTTATTTGACCCATTAATACTCTGGAAGGGAACAAGGCTTGGATAAAACATTCTTGTTAGGGTAAATCTCCAAGGGAAGGTAACCTATATCTTTTTTTTTAAAGTACTGTCAGTTCAAGCAATCGGGATCCTTAGCTGAAGTAAATTGGTGTTAGTGCCTTCGCTTTAAGAGGTTAAAAGATCTGGCCCATCGTCAGAAAGTGGCCCAGGGACTGTGGGCCCCCAAGGCTGTATGCTTTGCATGGGCAGGTGAATACTCCACCACCCCACTGCACTGCATGTGTAGAGCAGCCCCCCACTCCCTGCCTCACCTGGAACTTCCTGGAGGCTCCCCCATGGCATCGCACCACACAACTGCTCTAGGCTGCCAATGCTTCTGGCACTGCAGCTGCACCATGCCACCCTGCCCCTTGCCATGGGCTGGGTCAGGCAGCAACGGTCAGGGGAGGGGCAGAGAGCCCAAGACCCCAGATGCTGCTTCAGACAGAGCAGTTGGAGCAGCAGCAGCCAAGTGTGAGCCTGGGGGCAGTAGCAGCTGTGCAGGAGCCTAGGGGCCATATGTTAACTCCTTTCAGCCTACATGCAGCCTGTGGGATGCCAACTAAACAGCCCTGTTGTAAGTTAACATTTAACATGATGATTAACAGTAATAGACCTGGAACAATAATAGAGAAACTATAACAAGAGGATAGGACCAGGATTACCACAGTAAGGTTATGTGACTGCTTTGGATTATAAGGCATGCATCTTGATTTACCTCTTTTTTCATTATATTTTTCTGAGGAAACCCTAGGGCAACGGCTCCCAAACTCTGACAGATTGTACACCATCAATCTAAAACAATAGAACCTTAAGTATCCCCCGCAAATTTTTCAGTTCAGTCTTAAATATCACCAGCAGGTTGTCTGCGTACCACTGGTAGTACGTGTACCACAGATTGGGAACCTCTGCCCTGGGGCAAATATTCCAAATCTGCAGAATGTGTAAAGGGGAATCTTCACATGGCCTGCACAGGCAAAATTGAAATAATCAGATTGACTATTTAAAAAATAACTAACTGGTATTGCCCGGTGACAAAGACTCTAGAACATCAGTTCCCAATCTGTTGTATGCGTACCGCCAGTGGTATGCAGACAGTCTGTCAGTGGTATACATTAGCTGATTTATTATAATTACTTTATGGCTAGGGACAGACATTACACATAAACCAGTTTAAGTGATCAGAAACTGGTTTAAACCTGTAACAGAGCAGATGTTCAGTGCACATAAACCACTTTGAAAATGGCTGAAACTGGTTTGAGATAAACCTGGTTGAATGTAGTATCAGACTTAACTGATTTGGCTCAAACTGGTTTATGCAATGTCTGTCCTAGACCTCTGGCTGGTTTAAGATTCATCAGAGTCCCCCAGCATCCCAGCATGCTCTCTGGCTGGATGGGGCTCTCTGTTCTACAGCAGGGCTGGGCCGTCCCCTCTGCTGCCTTACTGGAGATCAGCAGTCTCTGCAGGCATCTGTCCGGCTTCTGCTCTCCTCCCCTCCCCACTCTGTGATAAGCAGGCATTCCCCCATCCCTTACAGACAGCTCAGCATTAGTTAGCCAACCACGTGCTGGCTACAGTCCGTGCTGTGGGAGATGACAGAGGGAGACAGGCTTTTTGGAGCTAATTAACAGGTAGCTTAGTGTCCTTCCTTGGAAATGCTGTTTAAGAGCTGTTTGCTTTCCCCCTCCCCCTCACCACTCTCTGCTAAGCAGGAATTCCCCACTCCCCTCTGCCTTGCTGAGGAGGTGTCTGTATATTAGCTAGCAGACCACATGCTGGGTCTGTGCTGAATCAACAGTCTTAATGGGATGAGAAACACTGAGATAAGGGTGATAAACACAGTTATCAGCCCCTCCCAACCCCGGCTTGCTTGCCTGTCAGTTTGTTTCAGGTAGCATACAGAAGCAGGGAGGGAGAGTGAAAAACTCTGTATCATCAACAGATGCATGTGCTGCACACACCTCCTTGCCTCTGATAGCTGGCAACACTCCTGCACCTTGAGTAGCGAGTGGGGAAAAGCCTGGGACAGCAGGCAAGCTGGGGGTTTACACCCCTCCCTAATCAGAGCCCTGCTGGAGCCTGGCCATGCCCCCCTCAGCTCAGCTCTGCAAGGGCAGGGATGGCTGCTCTAGCATGTTCTGGTTTCCAGCCTGAGCCACTGCAGGCATGTGCCTGAATTTCCTCAGTCCAGAGGGATTGTCTGTATGGTTGGAAACTTGTTCAGCCTAGCCAGGTTAGACTAACCTACAAAGACTGAATCAATTCAGGCTCAAGTTTTTTGAATGTCTGTCCCTAGCCTGTATGACATTAATCTGTTGATGGTACTTAATGTTAAATTGAAATATTTGCTCGTGGTACTTACAGTTGTATTGTTCTAAACTGGTGGTGTGCAACCTGTCAAAGTTTGGGAACCACTGCTCTAGAACAAAATTCCATTATGAACATTTCCTGAATATGTGGTAGGATGCATGGTTAGTCAGAGTAGGGGTAAACGATTGCTTTAAGAAAAAATGAGTAAAGGTCTTTCCAAGCTTTTCAAACTTGGAGCACTGAATCTTTATCATATTTGGTTGCAAAGCCTCCAAGCCAAGTCACGTCTCTCTGAGGCGGTCTTGAAGCTGAGTTTGGGTCAACTGTAGCAAATCACTGCTTCTTATCAGCTTGAAGATGGAATTATCATATCAGCATGATTGTACTACAGCAATAATTTTTTGATGGTTACCCTAGCAGTATTTTTCATGTGTTTGGTTATTTAAAGAAAAATAAATCACCTGTTCAAAAACCTCCAGAGAGCACAAGGCCTTTTTCCTGCTGTCTCCTACAAAGGCATCTCTTCATTTGTATCCTTATCTTATTAGAACAGAAAAATACACTGTGGCCATAGTTTTGTTAAACTGGTGACTGTCAATTGACAGGTAGCCTGCT